ATTGGTCAGTAGCACCATATTGGTCAGTAGCGCCATATTGGTCAGTAGCGCCATATTGTCAGTAGCGCCATATTGGTCAGTAGCGCCATATTGGTCAGTAGCACCATATTGGTCAGTAGCGCCATATTGGTCAGAAGCGCCATATTGTCAGTAGCACCATATTGGTCAGTAGCGCCATATTGGTCAGTAGCACCATATTAGTCAGCAGCACCATATTGTCAGTAGAACCATATTGGTCAGTAGCACCATATTGGTCAGTAGAGCCATACTAGTCAGTCGCACCATTTTGGTCGGTAGATCCATATTGGTCAGTAGAGCCATACTAGTCAGCAGCACCATATTGTCAGTAGCACCATATTGGTCAGTAGATCCATATTGGTCAGTAGAGCCATACTAGTCAGTCGCACCTTGTTGGTCGGTAGATCCATATTGGTCAGTGCCTCAGTAGAGCCATACTAGTCAGTAGCACCATATTGGTCTATAGCACCATATTGGTCAGTAGAGCCATACTAGTCAGTAGCACCATATTGGTCGGTAGATCCATATTGGTCAGTAGAGCCATACTAGTCAGTCGCACCATATTGGTCGGTAAATCCATATTGATCAGTTGCCTGCCTATCCCATACTAGGCAGCCTCACACTATTGGTCTATGGCACCATATTGGTCAGTAGAGCCATACTAGTCAGTAGCACCATATTGGTCAGTAGATCCGTATTGATCAGTTGCCTGCCTATCACACCACCTGCAGCCTCACACCATCTTGTCATGTCATTCCTTCGCTTGTAAATAGTCATGAGAAACACTACTGCCATAGCAGGTGTTGAATCAACAGAAGGTCGCGGTCTCTTATCGTTGATTGAGTTAAGAAACTCTGCAATACATTAATGATGACATTAATTTATGATGATGTATTGCTGCTAAAGGTCAATAAACTGGAAAAATTATATTAATGGTTGGTTGAATATTTAGTTACGTAATAGCGTACGCGATAACCATTAATGAAATTAATACCCATTTTCGAGTAAACAAAATTCCGAAATATTTACGGCTAAACCTTCTGCTCAGAGCTTTCCTTTCGAGGCTTTGCTTGGTGCTATTTATTAGGATCTTTCAAACTATCGTCAGTCATGAAAAGATCCGGTCAAATGACACGATTTTAGACCTTCTGTTAACAAGGCACGAAAAGGAAAAGAATCGGAGACAGGCCACATCAGGCCTACACTTCAGCGCCGAGATCACTATGTTATGTTATGTTATATTATGTTATGTTATGTTATGTTATGTTATGTTATGTTATGTTATGTTATGTTATGTTATGTTATGAAGATAACGCAACGTTGGAAAACCCTGCTCTATAATTTTATTCCTATAATTTTATTTATTTTAATTTTTTATTGGAAAATGTTATTATTTCATAACGGTTCATTCTATTTTGCATATGTTAAGATCCATGCATAATGACATGTTCATGCAAGAGTTCAGGAACGGGTGTGAATAAAAGAAGAAATCAAAAGTCATTTGATTCAAAAGTCATCTTAAATATCCCAATTTAAAACAGTAAATAGTATAAGTCAGATATTCCTTTATTAACGTAAAACGGTATCTTTTATTGTTTTTTACTTCAAAATACAGTTCAAAATTTAATTATAAGTGTTTAGACAGTGCTATAAGTTTTTAGACAGTGCGGTGTGCTAAAACAAATTAAGGTATTTAGTTGTGAAATAATTCTATTCGTAACGTAAAAACATCATTTATCAAATGATATCGAAGAATTGACACATGGCTTCCGCATATTTCTAGTGAATAATCCCATATCCATTGTAATTGATTATTTACCTAGACTTGTGATAGAAGTCTGTTGACTTCATCGCCTAGGTAGAACAGATCTAGCAGACCTATTGCTGATTCTAGATGCCATTTTGCGTGCGGCCATGTTGGATTGCACCACTCGTCGCCTGGGTAAATGTTGGTGCCATTTTGGAAGTCAGGTTCAAAATATTCAAATGAGTTTAAAGAATTAGCCCAAGCATTTACAATAGGTAGATATTGCCAGCCTAGAGCGTTAACTTCAGGATCTAGAAACTGTGGATTGTCAGTGAGCACATGTTCCTGCCATATAAAAGCATAAATCAATTTCGAAGTTGTTCCGATCAAATTCTCCAGGAACTTGGTTTCTTCGATGATGCCCAAGTCAAGATTTGATGTCAGGTTCCTCATTTCTGGCAGGTAGTCGTCTTGAATGAAGGCCAGGAATTCGTCAGGAAGTCCAAATGCATTGGCCAAAAAGGGAATAAGCTGGTCCACAATTTCAGGAGGAAGACCAACGGTTACCGCAGTCGAGAAAATCCCGGCAAAAGAAAGATAATAGTCAGGAATATCGAGCGACTGAGTAAAGGCATACCATTCATTCACAGGTTTAGTCATGTATTGGTTTACGAACTCATCGGCTAGCTGGAGAGCTGACATACTTCGTGGAGTGTAACTGAGATCCTTCACAACGGATGACGCCTCTGTCAGAGATGACAAACTTCCTTGATGTATGAGATAGGCGAGAACTGCTATAGGTTTAGTGTCGAGTTGATGTCCCAGCTCGGTGTGACTTCCATGCATGAAAGAAGACCCCATGGACAGTTCGGAGAAGGCGGTACCAGCTGCATTAATATAATCAAGTGGTAAGGTAAAAGGTGAACCCAGGTCTCTGCGGTAACAAATTTCCGTTACTGGGTGGTACGTTGCCATGTTGGAGGCATAATTGCACGGCTCATAGATAGTCATGTTGAAGACATCAGTAGTTGTTACATTGCGCTCGTAGTAACCAGGTTCGTATTCTCCCCAAACATCATCTACACCACCTCCAGCAAGCCAGTAGTCGATCATACCTTGCCATGCATTGTTTTGTGATGTAACGAGACGATGATCGAAAGTGTCCATACACCTGAAGAGTTCTGCTAGATATTCACGGTCGTAGAGAGGTTGTCCTGTCATCATAACTTCCATGGCATCCAACATCGTCACCATAGCGTCTGCACCATCGACCGTTTTTGTAATTCCAAACAAGACTGCTGTCAGTAGAAAGGCAATGAACCTCTTTTTTGAGCCCATTTTGAAGTAGTTATATTTCCGTGAAGGTTTCGACACACCTTCTAGGTGCAGCTAAGCCGTACAAATGATATAGCTGTTGCGACTGCGGGCCAAAATGTGACTCTATCAGGGCTTGAGAATTTACCATCTGTATTATATACAATTTTAGATAACTATGTGAAGTTACTCGGAACTCATTGCAATGTAATGTATACGACCCTGTGCAGATGGAGCTTTATACTATATATGTAATGATGTTCGACTCGATTCGATTGATTTTATTTTATTTTTATTATTAATATTTGTTAAGCGAGAGTAAATTTTGATACATATTCAAATGATTGGGTAGCTTGCATCAAAAAACAAACGAGTGGACTGATTTATTTCAGATTTTTACATCAATTACTTTTTTATTAATACGGAAAACCTAACTTCACGTTCACCTCGCAGGTTAGGTCCTAGTCAGGTCAAGTGTCAGTATTTTGTGACATTAAAAAAGTAATTGACGTAAAAATCTGAAATAAATTTGTCCACAAATTATTAACAATATCTACTTAATTTTCAAATTTGAATGAAATCCGTTCATTATTGATGGATTTATGGCTGGAAGAGTTGAAAATGAAGTTAAGTTTTCCGTATTAATAAAAAAAGTATTCGATGTAAAAATATGAAATAAAGCTGTCCATAAATTATTGATAATATTTATTTAATTCTTACATTTGAATTCGAATAAAATCCGTTCATTGTTGATGGATCTATGGCTGGAAGAGTTGAACGTCAAGTTAGGTTTTACCGAATCGACGACACTTCAGCGAACTCGCCTGCGAACTCGCCTGCGAGCTCGAATGCAAAACCTAACTTAATTTTCAACTCTTGCATGCATAACTCCGTTAATTATGAACGGATTTTATTCAAATTCGAAATATAAGTAGATAATATCAGTAACTGGCGGAGGGAATTTTTTTTCTGATTTGTACATTAATAACTTTTTTGTTAATACGGAAAACCTAACTTAATTTTCAACTCTGGCACTCATAACTGCGTCAAATATGAACGGATTTTATTCAAATTTGAAATTAATCGGTTTAGGTTTTGCATTCGAGTGCGCAGGCCAGTTCGCAGGCGAGTCCGTAGAATTGTCGATTGAGTTCGCTGAAGTGTCGATCCGGTCAAAAAACACCGCTTGCTCACAAATTGAAAATTTGGATAATTGGCTAAAAAGCTGTGCCGCTTATATACAGTGAAACATTCAACTTCAAAGTTTATTCTTTATTTTAGATAAAATACTCAAATTCTACTATTATTTTACTTTTTATTATTATTTTGCTATTATTATTTATTAATCTTTATACATCTGTCGATTCATTTGAATTCAATATGAATTGTTATGAAGAATTATTATTATATAAATGTAATGACGACGAAGAAAAAGGATGACCGCATGTGGTCAAACGGAACAAAACATGTGCATGTGCCGGGGTGTGTAATCGGATCTTGGGATGTTATTTGTTCAAAATGATTTTTACCATTATTGATGTTTGCTTCCCATTCCGATCTTGTAATAGATTATCAGTAAAGCATGGCATGTTTCAAATTTAATGACAGCACATGAACAATAACTTTGTTTCTTCTCGTCGTAAATTGTCTTGGCCGTTTACGACTCAGTCAGCTGATCTTGCATGTGTAAGCTGGCACCGTCATCATGCAGAACAGCTACAACGCCGTCATAAATGGGGGGGATCTTGCAATGATGGATTTTGACTTGACACAGCCTGAAGCTCCTGTACGGTGTCCTTTATGCCATGAAATGTTTGTCGTAGTGCCAAGCAGCCAGCCTCTGCAGCAGCACTTGTTAACTCAACACCGTCTTATCATCGCCAAAATCGACGAGATTGCCGATTTAAGACAGTAAGTGAATCTCATGTCATGTATGACAGTGAGTTAATTTATTTTGTCAAATCTGAGTGTTGTTCCTAAATCCTAACTTCCTTGGCTATATCAGTACAGTTACCTAGTATATGCAATCTTGCTGTGCAGCATAGACCTAAGTCTACAGTTTTTGTGTATGTGTGGCCTAGATTAAAGTAATTTTTACTTTAAAAAACATTGTGACACCTGGAAGATGATTTTATGAATGGATTCCAACAGTTTGATGATCAATTCCAACAATGGATCGAGATCATTTCACTCAACCCAGAATTCATTAAAATTATTTTAGCCCTTTTGTAACTCACAAGACTTATTGGTCCTAAGCCACAAGGTACAAATAGAATTGAGCAAGGTAAAAGGGTATATGTATTCAAGATCAAAGGGTTAAGTGACAAAATTTTGTTCTCTTGTGTGTGTGGCATGGTGGTATTGTTTTACACAACTGGTTGTCTGTGGTGATGCTTTATCAAGTGTGTAAACTGTCATTGGTTTACTTCATGCTTTGATGGAAAAATAAATAAAAATTTGGTTGCTTATTAGCAATCAAAGGCTTTTTAATGGCCTTATGCAATTTGTCTAATTTTGAATAACTTTCTTAAGGCCCTTAAACTTGACAACTTCATTCAAAAGCATATACAGCTCCACTGCTCAGTGCTCAGTAATTATAAATCTCAGCTTAATTTTTATGAGTGGAGAATTTTTTTCTGGATGGTTTTTCTTTAAAAATACTATTCAGGTCATAAATATTTTTACTATTTTTATGGAAATTGAAGCAATTATGAGTTTTATGTTCTTAATTTACTTTATTTCTGGCAAACTTGATGTTTTATTTATTTTTATTATTTGTACGACAAATTATGTTTTACTTCCCAAGGCATGTATTGCAAATGAAACTTCATTATTTTCAGGTACTTGATGTACTGGGGCAAACTGGAAGGAGCTGATTTAACTCAGTTTTGCTCTGCCATCTTGACCAACTCGGATCTACACCCGTCACATGGCAAGCCCGAGCGCTACTACCTGCTCAGTGAACACCTGCCAGAAGACAAACGTCTCAGGGACATGCTTAGGGAAATCAAGTTGGTATGTTAAACAGACAAGATTCTGATCAGGTCTCAAGTTTTATATTATTTCCCATTTTCAAAAATGTCTTTGTATTAATTGGCGTCATTTTTTTAGCATGGATTAGGAAGAAAAATGCTATATATGCTTTATTTTGTCATGCCTAGTAGTCAAAACTATTTAAATGCTGGATTAATCACTGGAAAAGTAATATCATGTTCACCAATGGCATACATTTTTTTCAGTGAAAAAAAATTTTCAGTGTGAAATTTTCATTTCAATAAATTGCTCATCTATAAATATGCAATTATTATGTCAAGCAAAAGATTATTATTTTGTGTTCACTCATTTTCAAATACAATTTTTAATGCGCAGAGAGCTGTAACTCGCACCAAGGAACTGGAGCGAGCCGACACAACATTTAGCCGCAAGTGTGTGTACTGCTACAAGATAATTGGTGGTGGCCTACATGCTATGTTTGACCACCTCACAATTGGACATAATTTCTCCATAGGACAGCCAGATAATATTGTATTTGGAGCTAAACTTCTTGATGCCATGGAAGCCAAGCTTCAAAAGTGAGTTCTTTCTTCATCAGCTTGACTCCTTACAAGACTGAGAGGCATGAATTATTTATTTTCTCTTATATTGGTGATGTGACTATAGTGCTCCTGTGAAAGACTATTTTTACACCTAATTATGTAAACATGATTGATAATGTTGCTCAATTAGATAAGAGAACTAACATTTATTTCTGTAAAGATTTGTCTAAAAATGTTTTTGTGTATTCAGCTTTGAACCATACTGTTTTAATATTTACCAATTTCATAAGTGGTTCTTATTACCATCAGATTGATTTGCATGTACTGTGAAAAACAATTCACTGACGTTGAAGTTTTGAGGCTCCACATGCGTAAAAAGGGTCACCGTACGCTCAACCCTGACAACAGATTCTATGATCAGTTCTACCTCATAAACTATCTTCAGGTAAGTTATTTCTGTTAGACCAGGTTAGAAAGTTCAAAGTAAGATGGCCAGCTAAGTGTGGAGTGTCTTCTTTCTTAACTCAATTGGAACAGTAAATTGGTTTATAATTACTTGTGCAGCCACTCGCTCTATGCCTTCCTCACTTAGTTTTAAGGCTTGGTTGCGGTATGTTGGCTACGTTACGACTCTTTTACGTCATTTTACGTGCCGCCCGGCAGTTTTTTTGGGCGTCCTGAAAACCTCCGATTGGTCGCACGGCAAACCTATCTCCTTCTACAGTTTTCAAGCTACAGCAATGAGACATATACCATTCGATTCGTAAAGACCATACCTATAGAACTGTTGATCATTTTTTTGAATTTCTGTCTGGTTCGTTTTTTATATGGGGGAGAAGGGGGGGAGGGGGAAAAATGAGAAAAATGGGATAAAACACGCATAAAAAAACTAAGGGGAAAATGAGAAAAATGATCATTAAATCTATAGGTATGGTCCTTACGAACCGAATGATATGTGTCTTGATGTTGTAGGATGATATTTGTAGGAGTAGATAGATTTTCTAAAGTACCCCCTTTTAGCCGTTTTTTATGAATTTCACGTTTTCTATCACTTTTTTTCAAAAAATTCATAAGTGCAAAATGTTATTTTTTTACATTTTACGTATGTATGTGAAGTTTCATGATGATCGGATAATAACTGTAGAAATTTTTCCGGAGGGTTGTCGGTCCCCTTAATTCACTAGGAAACTAGCTGAAAGTGAGTTAATTATATATACGTAATTATATATGTGTTTGCACATTTGCACCTGTGTTGTAATAGGTAATTTTTTGCAAGAATTTTCACTGTTTTTCATTATATTATGATTGATAGTTTATTCAGGAAATGGCTTGAAGGAATTTACTGGCTTTCTGGATGATTGCCTCTTGAATGCTTTTTGATATTCTATTGCATAATATCATGGTGATTTTTTCACCAAATTCTGTGCTGACCCGTTATTTTCATATCATTTTTATCAACTATGCTGGTTTCATTGAAGCAAATTTATTTATTTCTAGCCTGGGACTCCTTGGCAGGAAGTAAAGCATCAGCAAGATGAGGAGACTGCATCTCAGACCTCCTTCACTGGAGACAGCCTTGCAGGTGGCTCTATCTTGGAGATAAAACCGATAACTTGCAATTTTTTATTATGCACAATTAAAATAAAAAAATTAGATCAGTGCTCACTGCAGTGAGTGACAGAGAGCACATTTTCTTGTGACAGAGAGCTCAAAACGTAAAGTCACGGACAAATGGACATGATGAAGCACAATAGCGCTTTTTTTCCATGAATGAGAAAATGTGCTGAAAAGTAATGAGCAATTCAAACTCTCTTATGTTATGTTTGATTATGTCATGGATGATTACTTTTGAGTGATATCTTTCACCATAATTTATTGCCTTGCATACGTGAGTGCAGTTTTAAATAATAGTGTTCCATGACGAATTTGCTTGCATATGTTACTTGTCCTTGGTTTTCAGCTTGACTGATGTTAAAGTATTCTCACTGGAGATGAATTCCTAAGTCTGAACTGAGTTTTCACAGAGAAACTCTTAAATCATTATTCATATTCCTTATCATTGTGTGCGACTGAAGCCCTTAATTTTCAAGACTAGTTTTGCACTTTTGCTTGGATTGTTCATAATGTGAAACGAACTGATGAATTTGCAACACTTTTTCAAGACCAGTTTTGCTTGTAATTTTTTACGATGTATACGTATTAAACTGCTGAATGGGTGGCGCCTTATATTCATATGAACAGTTCAAGTGCCATCTACCTTGATGAGAAGTTCAATTATTAGCACTACTTTTTTGTTATAGCTACTATGTGAAAACACTCCCGTGGTAAACAATGACCACACGTTTCACTTATTGAAATTTATACTGATTTGGGATGGCGGTAATTGTACTCAAAATTTGAAATCAAATTATGACTAAACAAAATACCTGTGAAAGCATAGTAAATCAAGTACAGTATATAATTGCTAAGCGAATTGTTGACTATGTATTGAGAGCACGACTGTTGGCAGGAGGTGTCGGCGTGAGCCACAGCTTGGACGAGCAGTGGAGGGACTGGCGAGAGGAGGAGACCCAGTCTGCCACCTGCCTCTTCTGCTCCTACACCACCTGTAAGGTGTGTCATACCACCTGCAAGGTGTGTCATGCCTCTTCTGCTCCTACACCACCTGTAAGGTATGTCATACCACCTGCAAGGTGTGTCATACCTCTTCTGCTTCTACACCACCTGCAAGGTGTGTCATACCTCTTCTGCTCCTACACCACCTGCAAGGTGTGTCATNTTTTTATTTTTATTTATTCATTATTATAAATAATAATATTTATTTATTTTATTTATTATAAAAAATAAAAAAATCACCAACCCTGGTTTGAAATTACAAGACTTATGTCAGATTTATATTCTAGTAATCGATGTTCTAAAATCTAATTAGTTGTTATTAATCTACAGGGTCTCTTGTATGCCATATTTCAAGAGAAATTCTACAGTTGTGCACGTGGACTGTGAATAAATTAGCATCATTATTTAAATTAAGAATAAAAGGAGCTGCTTATTGTGTGAAGTGACTCAATGTCTTCATTGCAGTTCTAGTGTGATAAATATTTTGACGTTTGTTAAGTCACTCACCTGAGCGAATATCATCTTGTTAATTCTAAACTCTATTTAGTATGAGCGTTCCTGTGACCTGTTTTGCAGTTACATTACGAAGGATCAATTAAATACATACATTCTAATGACTTGAATTTTGATTTTGAGGCGAAATTTCAAAAATACGTTTTCAAAGACTGGTGAAAACAGAGCGTAGTAAAATTGATATTGAGTAAATAGTTGAAGTTTCAAGTGCAAGTTTGACACAATTTTATTATGACAAATAACGGTAATCAGTGATTAGTTAACTTAATCAACTTGATATAAGTAATAATGGCACGGCAGTGATGAGGCACGCCTGTTCTCAGATGCTGCAAGGACAGTGCCCTTCGTGCAGCAAGAGCCCCGGCAGCCACGACGCCCTTCAGGAGCACCTGCGTGACTACGGTCACTGCAAGCTCCCCACCCCCGCCCTCTGGTGCTCAAAAAAGTATGTCACCATTGTTATTCCAATCTCTTTATCCTGCTACCCTAACAAAATTTAGAGTCGCCCCAGCTTCTGGCACTCCAAAACAGAAGCTGACGCGTCTGTAAATTTTCACTGGGTATTACCGAAAATGTTTAAACCACTTCAAGTGAATTTTTATACTTTTTCGTACGTGAACATTTAGCCAGAGTTACCAATGCTACACAAAAAGCTTTAGCCTTATCTTAAATAGAAGCTTTAGTCAAAAGCAGATTTATAGAATATCATGTCGGATTCATACATTAGATCATATATTATATCAGCATTATTGAAGTGTATAAAACCGCGTATCTATAACATATTTCGTATTTTTTACCTGCCTCACTAAAAGCAAGGTGAGAATGCGAGACAATACAACTTTCGAAATGAATACTTAAGACTAATAAGTAGGCTCAGAAGTCAAAACATTGATTTTCCGTGTGATTCTTTCTTAATCATATCTAAGGTATATAAAATAAGTAACTATGAGCGCGTCTTAAAGTATTAGAATCAATTAAAGTCAACCAACTGAACGTGATTGGAAAGGCTGTGTCTTATGTTGCAATATATGAAATTTTTCTTCAATTTTAAATATATTTGAGAAACGTTAATTATTAATTTAGTTGTTTAATTTAATTGAGAGTTTAATTTGTGATGCTATTTCTGTCTGAACTTGTAGGGATTATTGGAGCTCATCAATAAAAGTTTTGGTTCCCTAAATGCATTAGTAATTTATTATTGTATAATGTTTAATGAGAAATTTCCATACGTCGCTCGAAAATACAAGTGAAGTGACACAGTGAGCATATTTTGTTAACATGGACATGGTGTGATGACATGGACATGGTGTGATGACATGGACATGGTGTGTGATGACATGGACATGGTGTGATGACATGGACATGGTGTGGTGCAGGTTTCTGCAGCCGGTGCTGGAGGAGGATGGTCTGCTCTGCCATCTGGATGACTGCCCTGAGACGGAGCTCTCTGATCTGGTTTGTAATTCTGTTAACTCCAATTAGTTTATTACCATTATTCTATTTTATTACCTATTCTTTTCTACTTATTGTATTACCCATTTTTCTCTTTTTTATTACCTATTATTCTCTAATTATTTTATTACCTCTCATTCTCTAATTATTTTATTACCATTATTCTCTATTTTATTACCTATTATTCTCTAATTATTTCCCCTCCAATTATAATGCTACCCATTATTCTCTATTTTGTTACCTATTATTCTCTAGTTATTTTATTAAACATTATTCTCTTATTATTTTATTACCAATTATTCTCTAATTATTTTAATACGAAATATTCTCTAATTATTTTATTACCTACTATTATATATTCTGTCCATGGTCCAGTGCTTATATTTCACTTTGGTTAAAAGTAGAAGATAGATAGAAGTTTACATGTTCAAACATTTCAATCGATTTGTTTATTTATTGGCATTTCAAGAAGAAAAACAGTGTGATTGTCAGAGTAAAGATTAATTCATTTTCTGCATCTTTATTTCTTACTAAATATTTCTGTATGTTGATTTCTTACTAAATATTTCTGTATGTTTATTTTTATTGTACCAAACTTTGCATGAATTATTAGCAATTATCTCCTGCGTTTAAATCAATGGCTTTATAATTCATCGTTATTATTATGTTTATGAGACCGATGTTACAGGAGCATCGTGACGTGTCGTGTGACGTGTTCCCCGACGGTGACACCGACGCAGCCGCCCTGTTGTCGGCAGAGGTGCGTCGGTCGTCGGGCTTGGCTGTCACCTGCCTCTTCTGCCGCCACACCGCCCTCGGGGGCCCCGCCCTTGGTGGGTGCTGCTCTGCTAGTGCGCTCTTGATAATTTGCACTTCTTTAGTGCGCTCTTCTTCATTATTTGCACTCTATTAGAGTGCTTGTTTTAATAGGTGGCCTTCTTTTAGAGTGCTTGTGATGGCACTCTATTAGAGTGCTTGTTGTAATAGGTGGCGCTCTATTAGAGTGCTTGTTTTAATAGGTGGCACTATTAGAGTGCTTGTTTTAATAGGTGGCGCTCTATTAGAGTGCTTGTTTTAATAGGTGGCGCTCTATTAGTGTGCTTGTTGTAATAGGTGGTGCTCTATTAGAGTGCTTGTTTTAATAGGTGGCACTCTTTTAGAGTGATTGTTTTAATAGGTGGCGCTCTATTAGAGTACTTATTTTAATAGGTTGCGCTCTATTAGAGTGCTTGTTTTAATAGGTAGTTAGCGCTCTATTAGATTGCTTGTTATAATAGGTGGCGCTCTATTACAGTGCTTGTTTTAATAGGTTGCGCTCTATTAGAGTGCTTGTTTTAATAGGTTGCGCTCTATTAAAGTGCTTGTTTTAAAGGTTGCGCTCTATTAGAGTGCTTGTTTTAAAGGTTGCGCTCTATTAATGTGCTTGTTTTAAAGGTTGCGCTCTATTAATGTGCTTGTTTTAAAGGTTTCGCTCTATTAGAGTGCTTGTTGTTATAGGTTGCGCTCTATTACAGTGCTTGTTTCAATGGGTTTAGAGAGTCCGCTCTTTTATAGTCCAATACTTCATGGGTAGTGATTATGCTAGAGCCGTTACAATACTTGTCCGCGGCGGGAGGAGATTATAATTCTTTAAATAATACCAAAGAGCCAGGGTTACAATGTTTCCATAACAAATTACAAATTCCTCTCTTTGTCGTGACTCTTTCCTTTTGTCCAGGCTGCAACGGAGTGCGGGAGCTTGTTGACCACATGCACAACATGCACAGCTTTGATCTGTATCAGGTATACCATTAGATTTATTCTACCAGTGTGCTAATCGTGTTAAAATAAATTAGCCGATATACACTCACAGTAATGAATTTTTTCTCTAACCTTAAGATGTAGCACAGCTTGTGTTCAACTGCTTGGTGATGAATCGCTGTTTATTGAACGCTCGCGGTTTTTCAATTAACGGAGAAAAACATGAACGCATTTAAAAGTGACTGAGGCCGTTCAATTAATAGATATTATTATTATTCTACAAATCATTTATCGTGACGTCTGGTTCAAACGAACTTACAGGGCAAGTCACACATAAGATTAATAGTAAGCAATAATTAAATAATATTCAATAATAGATATTCAATGCGTTTCTGTGGTTCAGATGACGCTGGGCCTGAACTTCTACGACCAGATTTGTCTGATCAACTTCATCAGGCGCCGCAGTGCTGAGGGTCGCTGCTACTACTGCAACGAGGGCTTCTCCGACCCTCGCTTGCTCGAGGAACATAGAACCCTGCAGGACCACACCGGCGCCCCTGACCCTCAGCTGTACCGGCTACCAGAGTGCGTATTAAAAAATATTATTATTATTAAAAATTTTTATTATTATTAAAAATTTATTATTATTCTTAAAAATTTATTATTTATTTTATTATTACAAATTTCATTTTCTCTTCATCTTTCATAGAGTCTATTGATTATGGTAAAATGTAGTTCCGAAATTGTAAAGAGTGCGACAATTAAATTACCCTTTTTAAAATTTTACCCAAACAGCAAGAGATATAGAGTGGCTACTGGAAAGGGAATGCATCCGATTACATGTGTATTAAATTTAGTTATCGTTACTGGCTAGAGAGCATCGCGCGTTCACCCTCAAGGCAGAATTTAGTGGTGGCTTAAAAAAAGTAGCTAACGCATTGCCCTCCACGCTATCTAGATTTAGAATCATACGAAATACTTTTTTCAATTTCAAACCTGAATAAAAAAATGCAGTGATATATGAATGGAAAATTGAATTATACCGACATCTGCCTTGGTTCCGCCTGTCTTTATCTATGAATTGACAAAAAATTAAATTTATCTAACGCACTCAGTAGTCTACACACGTACTCATGGCGCACTCGTATCTTATGTCTTAATTTTACACTCCCCCACCGGTTGAAAACATCTGACGTCGTTCATATGCAACTATGCTTCAAATTTATGCCTATTCTAATCTTAAGTAAAAGATAAGTAATTTACTGTACCAATGCTTTTGAATTTCTGCCTAATATAATTTCAAGTAAAAGATGAGCTGTTATTCTGTAATTATGCTTCAAATTTATGTCTATTCTAATCTTAAGTAAAAGATGAGGAATTATTCTGTAACTATTCTTTCGAATTTATACGTATTCCAATCTTAAGTAAAAGATGAGCTATTATTCTGTTACTATGCTTCAAATTTTTGTCCATTCTAATCTCAAGTAAAAGATAAGCTATTATTCTGTAACTATGCTTCAAATTTATGTCTATTCTAATCTAAGTAAATGATAAGCTATTATTTTGTAACTATGCTTCTAATTCATGCCTATACTAATGTGCACTAAACGAGAATGTATCCAGGTATATGAGCCCTGCGCTGGAGGACGACCCGCTCCTGCTGGGGTTGGACCAGCTCACCTGGAACACTGACTCCGACCTGGAAGACGATGTCATACCTTCACCCACCCCCCAAGGTAGCGTCCTAAAATATGAGTTATAATGATAGAATCTGTTAAGTATACTTGATGTGATTCTTCTGTCACTTTTTATTTATTTATTATTATTATTCTTAATAATACTCACTGTGCTTGCCAGCATATTATCATTTCAGGCTACGATACTATTCGATTTCATTCAATCATAACCTAGAGATGAATTTGGAATGAAAGCCTGAAGAAAGTTTAAATAGAACACCGAGTTATTCCGCGCGTAGGAGGAGATAATTTTTTTTACTAGAAGGATAAATGTAATGTTGTATTACCGTCAACTGGGGTAATTTCGGCCTCCGGGGGTAACTTAGGCCACCACTACAACAGAAACAATTGGCAGCAAAACAAAATAATAAACGTTGGCCAAAGTCACCCCAGTCACTTTGGCCAACGTTTATCATTTTGTTTTGCTGCCAGTTGTTTCTGTTGTAGTGGTGGCTGAAGTCACTTCTCAGCCTCTGTTGACGGTACTGAAATTCTCTTTTAGTTCCAACAATGCAGGTTTCGTGGTCCACATGATGTGCATCAAGCAGAGATCTTGCATGAATTTCCGTCTAATAATTATGAATGCGCTTCGCAGATGACAGCAGCTGCATTGGCAAGAAGAAATGTACGAAAAGCAACAAGAACATCAAAAAGAATAAAAGTATCAAAAGTTCACGCACGTCACACATGTTACCCGATGTGGTCGCCCACAGCCACAGCCTTCTTGAAGACATGAGCGCAGGTATGCAGCTCGCCCTCACGCCAGACGCTGGTGCCTGCCATGCTCCCCTCAGCCAGTCTAGTTCCCCTGCTGGAGATGACGTGGGTTTTGAAGACGAATATTCCGTCCATTATGTTAATGGCGAGAGCAGGGGCGGCAGAGTTGTTGTCGGTGACGCAACTTCCAGTGAATTTGTTGATTTGTCTGACAATTCTTGTAATTCTATTAAGGATGATGAAAATTCATCTAATTTGGTTAACGGTGTTATGCTTCCCAGTATTGTTTGTGGAAATAACACGGTAGAATTCGTTAACGGTAAAACTTCTAGTCACGATCTCGGTCGCAAGTGCAATTCTACAATTGAATTGGTCAACGAAGACATTTCATCATATTGCAATAGTAACCGTACTTCCAGTAGCGAAGAAAATGTTGCATCTAGAGAAGATTGTGTCACTAACTCGACGGATGGAGACAGCGGCATAACTTCAAGATTTGGCTGCTCTGCTGATGGCAACAGCAGTTTATATACACACAGCATAAAAACTCCTGTGTGTCGAACCCTGAACGATGTTCAAGTCCAAAAGTTCTATGTCCCTCCGTCAGCCCGTCTCAGAAACAGTACAGTAGAAGAAACTGTGAGCAACAACTCGTTGAAAACTTCAGTTCAGAGGAGACCTCTAATACAGGCAACTCCGGCTTTCACTCCAACCTCTTCTTGTAATTCAAATCCAACCACATCCCTAGTTATTCCATCTAAGAGTTTCTACTCGAAATCTTTCAGAAGGAATGTTGGGAGCAAAGAACGTCTTGAACAGTCACAGAATGCCAGGGAAAACATTTGTGATCAAGATAATAGAGCCTCGCAACATTCATCCAGGAAAGCAAACTTCTTGCCTCATTTTAACTTTGTCGGCGAGGGGAATATCAGACCGAGTGATTCTGAGCTGTCTTGGAGAAGACCTACTGGACAAAATATCAGAAAATTCTGTAATCAAACTAATAAATAACAAACTTCTACGAGCTGCTGGTACAGTAGACAATTGTTTCTATCTTATTTCATTAGAATGCTCATTGTTTTCTTCTTAATTTAACGAATTGTTAATTTTGAGCTAAGGTTCATTGTAAAACCTTGTTTCCGCGTTATATATTTTTCACACAGACACCGATTGTGTTCAGGTTACAATCGCCTTTATTTCATCATATATATATAAATAAAATTGACACAAAGTCACAAATTGGTTATGGGTCATTTTATGTACTGATAGTGCATGATTTCTCCAACAAAATAGTATTGGATACATCAGCGAGCAGTTTACTCTCGATCAAACGTGTTGCTCGGAACATTCTGGGTTTAGTGTCGTATTTGCGTCTCGCAATTGCAAGTCTGTACGGCAGTTATCAGTTTAGCTACGCTAAAATTATCTGATGAACTGTATTGAGTTTTATGTTGTATTTATGTATCACTTAATCATTCGTGCTGCGCTGCATTTGTTCAGGAGTTAAGTTCAAATGTTCAAGAAAAGGGCTCAGAATTGAGTACCGGAATATATCTCTTTGATTATTATCCATACAAAACGGGAAGTTCGCTAACTATATCGGCTTTGTCTTCGTAATCGCTTCCATGTATTCCTATATAGAGGAAGAGGTCACTTTTCCATGTTCGTTGTGCAAATTCAAAACACTGCACGATTATGTAAGAATTCCATGCCTCACCATCCTATATATTAAAAAACGTTAATGAATGCTTAATTTTCGATCGCTGATACGGTGTTTGAACGATTTTTGACGAATTTTCGGATTATGACATTGCATTGCCGTAGAGCATTAAAGGTTAGCGATAGACAATCGTGTGGAATTCCTGTCGTTGATGGTAATAACATCTTATTCCTTCAATGGCCTCCATTTCTTGCTAATTGCTAACAATATCACGCACTACAATACGCGACCCTGTCCCCTGTCTACGAATTCAATTCTCAGCCTTCGCACCAGGCATGCATTGAAGAGTTTAGAACTCGAGCTTTTAAGGAGCATCACAATGTTCAAGGTTTGTTTTCCAGTGTAAAAAAAAATTTAGAAATTAATAGGCAAGTCAATCCCACATCGTAATGTCCACCCTGTTCAGAAAAACTCATGGGTTACCTCGGCAAATAATAAATCGCTTTGAGTGCAATCAGTGACCTGCATGAAATAGATTTGCTCAAACTTGAATAATAACTCAAGCAATAGGTCGGCCATTGTTTGAAAGTGAGAGGTGCTTGCCACTCGAGATCAGTTGATCCTTGCCGAAATCCTTTCTAAGTTGACTTCTGCTATATGCATCGACATGTAATGAAGAAAATGCTCCATAAACCAAAAGGGTAGTCTTTATTTACATCATTACTTTTCAAATGTAAGTCAAAAATATTAGCTCGAAAAAGATGAATCTGAATCAGTCCCATACGGTGATGGGATCAAATGAAAGGAGAAAGATACTTCAGTGAACTTAATTGCTCAAAAAGTGAGATACTGAGTCACATAGAAAATTCCTGCGAGTTATGATTTTACGAAAAAATTGAGAACTTTTTATCACAACACAATAGGATGTCAACAGAGCAAATTAAAGTCTAGTGTTCTGGTTGTCAGGACTACGAGTACGACTAACACTGAGGACTGACTGATGAATGTACAATGTCAGTAGAAAATGGAAGTTATTTCTGAACTGAAATTATAACATTTTTCCGTTCTATTGAACCAGTTGACTCACAAATTGAATCCATGTTTGATTGATTTTAATACCTATAACAGAAAGTCAGAAACGCAATAAGCGACCAAGGATGAACTAGGAGCCTCGCGTGACACGATGTATGCACGTAGAGGACATATATATCACAGGCATTTCTTAACACTAAATGCCACTATCTAGTAAAAATTGTTTGAACACACGCGATCTGTAACAAACTGGTTTATACCCATGAGGCAGGCGGCTTTCAGGTCTGGATTGATGGAAACGTAGAACCCTCTCTTCAAATACACATTAGTGTTGTTTGAACATAACACTAACATGCAAGTCAAGCACAAACTCACAATAAGAAATACGAAAAAAATCATGCAAAATTCATCGCCTGCACCCTCACTTCAGCCTCTCTAGAAAATAATGTGTATTATAAAAGAATGTGCGGGACTTTTTACGGGACTTCGAGGCTCGGGGAAAAACTTTAACAAAAAGACCGCTTGGGCGGAGGCGGCCACAAGATGAAGAAGCTGACGCAACAGCTTGACGCCAAAAATTTCCGTAAACGAACGAACCTTTAGGAGGAGCTTGTAATGTTTCAGGTCTCTGAGAAATTTTCGGCGCATCGTTTCAGGCAGCTTATCCAACAACCAGGAGCCATTTGATGATTAGATAAGGCGAAACTAATTAGATTCGACTTTTTGCAGCTGAAGTTCGACCATTCTTTATTTCGCCCGAACCTTTAGCCGGTAAAGTTTTCAGCTTTAAACTAGAAGCTTTATTTTGAAAAGCTTTACAGTCTGTCACCAAAGCTTTGCACGACAGGGCTGTGCCACACAGCTTAGAAGTCAGTGAAGATTTAGCTTTGGATATGGACAAAGACGTGGAGGAGTTGTTCGCAAGTACAGGCGCTGAGTGTGCTGATTTTGATAGAGATTTCGAATTAGAGAGAATCTTGTCAGGAGATTTAGCATTGTCAAGAGATGGGAGCGCACGTGACGAGCGTAGTTTTTTACGCGGAGGAGAGAGAGCAGCAGAAGATGGAGAAGAACGTTTCTTATTCCTTCCTCTCTGCCGGCTCACATAACCCGAACTGGATATTGAACCTGAGAATAGCAGCAAGAAATATTCATTCGCATGATATTTTGATGATTACATGATTCATATATAATAGAAACACATGAAAAACCATCAGCAAAAAAATTTCAATAAACACAATGGCGATAAATTAGTTGATGGTAATAATTTAAAAATGTAATTAATGAATTAATTTAAAAAAACTGCAGTACTCACTGCAGTGAGTGACAGAGAGCGCAGTTTCTCGTTGACGAAAACTTGAGGTCACGGACGGACGGACAGACAGACAGTCGGACATGCCGAGCACAATAGTGCATTTTTTCCATAAATGAGAAAATGCGCTAAAAAACTCCTAAATTAATACAACTTTATACGTCACTATTTCGTGCAGTAATACCTGCAGTGGAAGTAACAGCACTTGCAGCAGACGTAGCAGCACTTGCAGCAGACGTAGCAGCACTTGCAGCAGACGTAGCAGCACTTGCAGCAGACGTAGTAGAACCTGTAGCAGCATTTGCAGCTAAAGTAGCAGGACTTTCAGCAGACGTAGCAGAACCTGTAGCAGCATCTGCTGCAGAAGTAGCAACACCTGCGGCAGATTTAGCAGCACCTGCACCAGGACTTGCAGCACCAGAACCTCCAGCAGTGGCGGCAGACTGGCGAGTGAGACGTCGAAGAGAAATCCTAGCATCACACTCCTGAAATAAGCCAAAGTGTTGAGAGAAAACATTATTTTTTATGTAAACCATACGAGGTGCTTTCATTAACCATTAATAAAGATTTTAATTGACATTTTACCAACTAACTCATGATAGGATTTTTAACAGACGTCCTCGTTAAACAAGTGCATACCTTTATGGAAATAACTCATTTATAGCCACAGTTTGAGTGATACAGTACCACATCGGAGTGGAATTTGACGAAGTTTCAATTATCTATCGTGAAAGGTATTTCACAAATACATTTAATAGTGAGTGCCTAACAGGAGCTAAACTTTAATTTCAAGTGGGGAATCATGATGCACGGTAAACTGGGTTAAATCCACAAACTGAAATTATGTTATTGATATTTCAATTTACAACTGTATAATTTTCATACAACTTTCTGCTTCCCATAACATACAAATTTACATACAAATTTCTGATTCACATTACATATAAATTGCTGATTTTTATTACATATAAATTGCTGATTCCCCTTATATACAAATTGCTGATACCCACTCAATTTCAAAGCTTTAGTTAAATGCGTGTTCTTATTACTATTACGATATTGACGGGTCGCTTTTGCATTTAAATGACTTTAATTCTGGTATTACGCGTGCTGGAAATATTACAGCGCGGGAAGACCGAGATCAATTTAACAATAATCTTGAGATAATCTTTAGTCGCATATGACGGTGTCATGGTGCTGAGATAAGAAAGAGTTAAATTTAATAAAACTTGTTTTAATTTGATTGAGTCCAGTACAAATGCTTACCTCTGAAGGCAAAGAGCCTGCGGGAGAGGGCAAGTCCATTCCCAAGTTTGTTTTGCTTTCTGTTGAAAAGATAAAGTCTGAGACACAGCAATGGGGAAAAATAAATGAATCAGACGACAGTTAATTATGCATACATAATATACATAGTCAAGGATCAATACTATAAACATTCGTCAGTACGATCTCAAATTGAGTCTTCTGAAGTAAATTTAAAGCTAATAACACAAACATAAAAATTGAATTCTTTTCCATTTTGCACAGTACAAGATATGTTTAATTCGCCCCATATTAATATTGCCGAATGAAACAAGCTTAGAGATAAGGTTGAGATAGTTACATATCAAATACATATATATATATATATATAGTCTCAAAAATATCCGAATATTCACTAAGGTCATCAGCAATTTTTCCCATAGGTAAACGGTCTGACACGGTAAATTTATTCTTTATTCTTAGAACACAAATATTGCAGCTTCAAAAGCTGTAACTTTCAATACCTACCCTCCATTAAAGCCATATGGAGCAGCTGTTAAAATTTCGACAAAACCTGAGATGGCAAGCAAGGAAAACGTAGGAATACAGGAAAACGTAGGGAAAAAAACGTAGGTAACTAATACACCAGATTCAGCATCTGAGCGCAGTTTAATGAGCTACTTAATCAAGCAATGATTCTCTCACCCTCAGGAGCCGTAATGTCCGTCGGGGTTCGACCCTCCCACGACAGAAGCAAGTCGCGTTGTCTGGTCAGACAGTCGCGGTTGAGGCCAAATTTCCCGGCAATCAGATGCGAACTATGCAGCCGTATCAGTGATACGGTCGTACGTCGAACCATTACTGCATGTATTACATGTCAATATTAGTACCATCTACATAGGTATGGTGATCAAGTATGGTGATCACATTAAATAGTGTTGATGGAATATATAAAATTATTATTTATTACATTGCATTCAAGCACAAACTGTCACAGGATTCAGAAAAACTTTTATTAAATTCTCCATGAAAAAATCGAATTCGACTTCTAAACAACAATCTGCTACTCAAGAGCAAAAAACTTGTATAGCTATATGAATAAAATTATTATATGTAATAAATTCAATTAATCACCTTTAACAATGACACTGTTCATTTGTTTTAAGATTATATATTATAGAGATAAATTCATGAATGCACATCATTCAAGAGTGGAATCACCCTTAGCATGTTCACAGTTGGTGTAGTGCAGCTCCGTGGCAAGAAAACGTGCATAGGGAGATCCATGCGGCTGCCTCCCATGTTGTAGCTTCACACGTTCCTGTGGCATATCCTTCATTAAATAGAAATTTGACACCAAACCATTTAGAATAAATACTGATATTGTAACACGAAAATACAATATAACCAACTTCAACAAGTCCTGCAAGACATACAATTTAACCAACTTCAACAAGTCCTGCAAGGCTTCAACTTTGAATGTTGTGCCACATCTCACCTCACACCTCCTCTTGAAGCAGAGCATGTGTTTGGTTATATTTTCCAGGATCCCAAGAGAGTTTGGAAGAGACTCGTTCCCATCCGCACTCTGCAAGTCATTTTTATGGTTAAGCAACAATACGTTCCTTCAACAACAATACATTCCTTCAGAAACACAAATGTTGAATGAAGTCAAGGGTTGCAATAAAGCTCAATTAAAATTAAAATGCTTGGATTTTAAAGGGTCAGAATCAAGCAAATGACAGTGACACCAGGATAATTATTCATGAAATACGAATTAGAACATAAATTAGCTACTGATGAGGTGACAATTTGTTTTTCATAAAAAGTTATTTTAAATTCAGAATCGTTACAGAACTTTATAAATTTTCAGAAGTTCATGATTATACGTTTCCAGCTGCACATAGAATAAAGAAAAAATTTAGATAGAACAGAGATAGAATGAATTATTTTCTGTTTGCACAACAATTGTCTGCCACAGGAGATTAGATGTAATATTCATGGTTATGACATGGACTAATGGCCTCATAACATTTCTGATACAATTTACAGTGAAAAATTTATTTATATTGGACAGCACAGAAGAAATATATTTTGTTCATAATACTAACTTTATAGAAATCCATAAGGAGCCGCCAGCAGCTGTATAGATGCTTTTGCATGTGGTCCAACATGGACAGAAGAACCTCAGCCACAACATTCAAGTCGGCCTCCACACGCTGTTAATAAATAATAATACATGGTTTTAATGGACGCAGTAATAATTATACAAGGAGTAATCCTTCCATTAAAATTACCAAACCCCTTTCAGAATCTTCAGCAATATCATTTGCAAAATAAGCATCAAAAACATATTTGTGTCAATCTCAGTAGGAGTGCTGTTACAATAATAATAATCACTACTAGAACTGGTGCAGTGACACAGAAAGGATTGACATAACACAGCAAATATTAACAAACCAATAATTAAACTGTGCTACTCTGAGTGATCACATTATATGAAAATATGATGGCATCCTTTGATATATGGAATTTGAATTCAAATTGTTTGTATGAAATTTCATTTATTGCATTATTAAATACAAGTTCCATGACATGACCCACTACAAAGTAAATTTCCCCAGAAGTAAATTTCCCCAAAAGTAAATATCCCCAAATACAGACCACGTTCATGTAGTTGAGCAACTGTGAAAAAAGCGGAATGTGTTTCCTGAGGCAGCAGAGCTCTTTCTCCAGCCGAGACACAATCTGCGCCAAGGACTCAACTTCCTATAAAAAAATCTTTGAATTAAGAGTCTGAATGCAACCTTGACCTCTAGTGCAACAGGCTGTCAAGGAAATCTCCCTGTTAGAACAACTTGCGTAACTAATAAATAGTAAAGTATATTATATTGTAACATCGCTCTTCATTTGAAATACGGTATTTATGACAGCTCAAATGTATTTAATTTCAAGTTCCAAATTGAGTAATTGTTTGCCAACCAGTTTAGGAGATGCTATGCAAGCAAACCTGCTCTCATTTATATCTTATTGACATCTTAAAGGACACAAAATTATACTTAAGTGGATATTATTGAATAATAAAATCTGTACCACATCAAAGTAAGATGCAATTAATTAGGGGAATCTAATTAGTAAAAATTAAATGAAAGCAAACTTATCCAAATTCTTAAAACAATTTGAGAGTAAGAAGCATTTAAAAGTAGTTTCTGAGGTCATTATAACTAAACAAATTTCAGAGAAATTCCACAGGCTTTCTTACGTCAAAAGTAATAGCTTTGCCAGGCATGATGTCAGCTGAGAGTTGGCCAGGTGCAGTGGCTGCTCCAGCATCTGGCTGATATTTTTTATTATATTAGTATTAAATTGAAATAGTTTCTCACTAAGTGGAAGGTAAATTGTAGAAAACAAATCTATCTGTTTTGAGTGAATGTATTGAAATCAAAACAGTATTTTTACTAATATTTTGTCATGATAAACAAGTTGAACTACAGTCATCAATACATTAAACACTTAGAATTTCTACCAATATTTAACCTTTAATAAATATAAGATAAATCATCAGCCATGAGCTTGTGGGAAGTTAAAAGACTGGTCCAAGATTGCTACTCAACTGCTGTGTTGTGCCTAAACCTGTATGAATTACAGTGACACATCAAGGTTGAAAAATGTAGGTACACTGTATAATTATCATATGAACACCATTAAGATTGAAAAATGTACCATAAAAGACGACTTCAACCATTGATGGGGTGACTTGACCATTTTGACATTTAACACATTGACTAGGTATTGGTACACATGTGTACCACCAAATGTATTGCTCCTGGTACATAATTCAGGGTGCGTGAACAAAAAGGCCAAAAAGGCCTATAAATCAATATGTACTAGTATATTTGTAGGTTCCAGTGTAAAAATTCATTTTTTTTATTTTATTAGGAAGCACCCCTTACAACCCCTATCATAAATTTTAGCTGACCACCTAAATTGAAAAAACTAAATCGCGGAATTTGTCCGGTAAAAAAAGAAAGTCTGGCAACCCTGTTCCATAATAGTACTAGAAAAATGAAACAAAAGTACAAGATGAAGCAATCATAGTCAACGTGTTAAAAGAAAACCCTATACCTACTTGTAAAGTACTTTCCTTAGAAAAATTGTGTTGATGGCTCATGAAGTAACTTGAGATAAACTACAAATGCAATAAAGAGATATATTTATATATTTACTATGTGACTATTTGCATCACAAAAAGGCAAGCACTAAAAATTGTCCAAGTCACCCAAGTCATTGGTCCAAATCACCCTGTTTTACAGTACACTGAGAACTGAGTACAGACTGTACAGTGTAGGTACAATAATCATACATACTACCTAATCATCCTAATGTAAATTACAAATATCATAATAATAGAACCAATTTCAACCAAATAATAAGTTTGGGTAGAACCAAGATACAATCATAGGTATTTCATTCACAATGAAGTTGTAGCCTATTTCAGTCACTCACCATGATGTTGTTGATAGACAAGTTGTAAGCTGCTACTGCCTATTCATCAATTAAATAGGCAGAAAATCAATACTTTCAAGGCACTCAAAATTGGTAACTGTAGAAATAGAATAATAATAAATGATTATTTTCACACTGGAGAATAATAACAATCTCATTTTTATTAATTTATTAATAAAATTAATTTGTTTTTATTAATTCAATAAATTTGTTTCACAATGGACTGAATGGAGTAAAATTGACAAACCTTACACCGCGACCAATAATTTTAGACACCTCTGACAGTGACAAGTGAGTTGGGCCAATCATAGTGGCAATGCAGAGAGTTTTTTAGACTTTCCCTTAAATCCCTCAAGTTCATTTTTGAGTCCTATAAGTAGACCAGTAAAACTAGCTATCATGGATACCAACATTATCATACATAAGAAATTGGTTCAAATCTTGAGAAAATGAGGAAATTAAAAATGAACTGATCATCCATGATCCATATTTTGCACTCAAGACTAAATGGATCATATAAACAATACTAATTGCTTTAAATGTTGGGGTCTCGAAAGACTAAGAGACAGTGGCAGTGGACTTTAATCAGTAAAATGTCACTTTAAATTTTTTTTTTCAGTATACAATTTTCAATTTTCCATACTCATCTTAGTCATCTAGGTAGGGCTACATCTAGGTAGTCATCTATAGTTCTATACACTACTTAGTGAGTAGTGACCGTAATCACTAGAAAGTAGAAATTATTAGAAAAAATTTGTAACGTGATTTTAGAAATGGGGTCGTTAAAAGGATATGTTTCAATGATCCTTAAATATTTACAATGTAGGCTAGCAGTTTCAAATCAGAGGCAAACTTGGGACGTTTATTTGCAGCTGTACTAAACTACTAGAACGAAGTCATGTAACTGATTTTTTTTTATAATTGGTTTTTAAGACTTGGGGTGTACGAAGCACCTCCCAGCCTGTTCCCTGTCAAAGAGAAAGAGCAGAGCGCAGAGCACCGAACTTGGTACTTTGCTAGTTAGAGTGCTGCCTCTGGCACCAAAATGCAGGTTTCCATGGGGCTGCAGCAGGTCTCACAGCAAGAAGCCTCTCATATCTGTAGACTGAATCTGAGAGTAAGTTAGTTAGAACAGGACATAAATCAATTGTTTATAGCTCCTTTGGTTTCACAGTGAATCCAGCATGCCAGACTGCAACAGAAATTGTGACAGGTTAGAAAATACACGAGGGCGCTCTGCTGCAGGGATCTCAGCTCCCAAGACTGTGCTTAGTCTCCAAAGTCCAAGGTACTCCAATGTCTGCCAGTGCGGCTGCAAAGGCTGTTCTCTGCACTGCAAATTTGGAACATGTTAGCAAAAAGTGTGAGATTGTATCTT